CTGAATTTAACCAATGGCATGTGTTACATTTTGTTCATTTTAAGCTAAATATACTGAACCAGTACACACTGTCAACCAGTTAACCAACCAATAACAGCTTACCCATCAACAGATATTTGAATAACCAATCAAACTTGCGTGTCAATTTCAATTTTTTTTTCACACAATTTTAAACTAGTAGCTTTCATTCCACCACATTGTACCAAAAGAAGGAAGGGTAAATTTTATAGGGGTGAGCATATCTAGAAGGTTTTTGAAGGTATGAGTTATTTTAAATGTATTTTGGAACTGGTTAAAAATTATATTAACTTTTTTAAAATTAGCTATATAAAAAATATGTGGTATGACAATGTGATGGCACACAATATTTTTTAATAAGAACATTAAGGACTGGAAGAAAAGTTACTTCATGCAAAATTAGTACAAAAAGTTGTTGATCATTGCAATGATTTGAGTACTGAAAAAGTCGCTTTCTAGAAACTATCAGTCTTTAGTGTTAAGTGCCTAGATTTTACAATATTGCGACATTTTTACCCTCTTTGTCATATTGTACTGTACCATTATATTGCTATATTCTTCCACTCCATTTTTTCTTTGTCTTTCATCGCTACAGCAATTATTATGGCATACTGGAGGAACCAATTTTTTCTCCATAGTACATCAATCTATTCCTTTTGTATCCTCATTTGCATACACACACATTGATTTCCATCTTTCAGATAAGATCGAAGCAGCCATATCCTGTGAATATCTGAGTTAGATGATAATTAACCTCCTATGTTCACTACCGACCAACGTCTTTCAAGTTAATTATGTTAAGATGCCAGTATGTGGTCTTTATTATCATTTATGTGACTCTCTCTCTTTATCTGACGTTTTCGACTCTTGAGTTCCCTTTTGTCACCAATATTCAGTACTTAGTCACCAGATCTATCAGTGGCAACACAGCTAACACTGTCACCGCATACATTGGTACAGTGACACGTGACATACATTTTTTGAGCAGTTAATTGATTGACAATGACAAAAACTTCAAATAAAATCACATCAAAAGATCATAGCGACTTAATTCCACCTTCTGATCCAGACGAAGTCATTGTAAACAATGAATCATAGCTAGGGTTTTACTAAAAATTTTTATAAACTTATAAATGTTACTTTTATTCTAAAAAAATAAATAAAAGTGGATCGCAAAATGTATTATTATTAAATAGATTAATTCTAAAAAAAAATAAAATCACAAAATACATTTAAAATAATTTATACCTTTACAAATCAATTCCTTGTTGAAAAATTGGACTTTAAATTTTGCGCACAATTAAAAAAATAAATATGATGTAGAGAAGCTGAGGTTATTCACTTGTTACCATAAATAAAGCTTGTTGGTTAATACTTATGAGAAAGAACTGGATTTGCTAAAATTCAAGTAAAATGAACAATTTTTGTGCTGAATGATACAAAAACCATGTCTGTACAAATTTTTTACAATAACATCTGCAAAATATATATTAAAACTCAAGAAGTTGCAAATTAAATGCACATGGCATATCGACAGAGAAGATAGGTATTTATGATTTGAATGTTTATCAATGGAAAACAAAATCTTTAGACTATATTATAATAAAAGGACATCCCGAGCTTAGTGATTCAGTGAAAAAAAATTCTGAAAACTCAGTATAAGATGAATGAAAAATGTTCTATTGTATATTAAGCTTCTGATTTCTTCTATTTTGATTAGCATATGGCTGTTTTAATGTCAGTTTAAGCCTCCACTGATGTTAAATTACATTTTTCTTTTATATCCTTGTGTTTTTTCATTTAGAGACGTTTGGAGACGGGTTCTTTACTATTCTCACGAATTTGTTTTCTGACTCTCTTTATATTCCAATCTATTTCCTGTCTTTTGTCCACTGGTGTAAATTTTCGATAATTCTCACCCCGTTTTTATCTCTCTTTGCACTCATTCACTACATTAAATTAAATACTATTAAAAAATTAAACTGGACATAACCAAATGGTACACCGTTTTGTCTAAAAACAAATTTCATCCATATAAATTAAAAATTGTGCACCAACTTTCAGATGACCAGACCGAAGGATATAATTCTGTGAAAATATGTCCCAATCAAATTAACCAACCGCTAGATAAAAACAATTTGTTTTAGTGACGAAAGCACTTTTCCTTCAACAGAAATGTTAACACACAATGTGAGGTATTAGAGTGACACAAATCCTCACATCTTTCTTGAAAAACATACTCAATTTTCAGAAAAAGTAAATTTTTGGGCAGGTATTCCCAATGCTAACCTAACCAGTAAAGTGTACCTATATTGAGATTGAGCAAAACGCAATTGAGCAATTAATTCTTGAAATTCTAGAAGATAATCCAGATGAATCCGGCAACTTGGAAATAATGTTTCAACAAGATGGTGCCGTGCATACTATTATGGTAAAGTAAGACGTTACCTAATGAGAAATATCGAGGTAGATGGATTGGACAATGAGGTTCGATAGAATGGCCAGCTCGGTCTCCGGACCTCACACCATTAGATTTTTTGTGTGATTTGAAATTTAAGATTTACGCTACAGCGTACAGAGAGTATTGACATTTTGAAACAACGAATTGTTGAAGAATAAGAGCAATTTCTCCGACACGTTTGAACGAGTATGACAAGAGTTTAGCAATAGGATGCATTACTGTTAGGAAGTAGATAGAGCACATTTTGAACACAATTAAATATCATATAATTTATTCATCAAAATGAGCTTAAACTCAAAACAAAATTAGTATGACTGAATAGTATACTTTGCCTTTATTGAAGAACATTCTTAGAATTCATAAAAATGCATGACTATGACTTTAGCAAGAGAAAAATGAGAACAAAGTATTTAATACAAATTTAGACCAACAGCTTGTGTTTATGGTTCCAATTTTTGATTATTTTCATTGCATATTATGACACTTACTAAAGATATGTAAGTTGACAGATAATTTAAGCAACTTAAGTAACTCTACATCATTCTCATTATAATGGCTGTAAATAGTAATAATCTGATCACCGTTGACGTGAATTAACAAAAGTACTTTTATAAAACTACACATATATTCAGTATAAAGATTCTAGTCAAATGGAGCTATATTTAAAAAAGGTTTTGTTGTCCCTTTAAAAAATTTCCAATGTCTTAACAGCCTTTTTGCATTTAAAAATTATTATTCGAAGTATAAGTGAAGGAAGTACATATATTGATTTTTAAAATACATTACAATTTTTACAGTTATCTATAAACCAAAATTTCTGCAATGTATATTAAATAGATTTGTTTAGATTTTGCCTGTTTATAGTAAATGCATTTTTTCATTGTACACTTGACGTCCAAAGTGTGCAAACAAAATTAGAGTCGAACACTAAAAGGTGTAGACCGACGTCACCATAATAGTGACAGTTATTATTACTTAAAATCCATTAAAAAAAGTTGCAGTGTGCTATGGAAATAGAGTAAAATCTTACAATTTTGTGCGTTATAATAAAAGAAATCACCAACCAAAATGATTCAAGAAATAGGACCCTAATTTGTTTGATACATTGTATTAAAATTACCCAAAAACGTTCACATATGAAGAAGCAACAAGGGAAGCACAGAGTAAAACGAAATTTATGGACAAACAAGTCCATGTTTAATAGAAATATTAACAGAACTCTGACCACAAAGGCCCTGAAAATAGTAAACTTTTCAATGCAAGAACCTGCATATTTTACCAAGAGGAGTTTTCAATCTTCCCAATCTTTACAAATGATCTCTGCATTAATGAACTAAAAGAAAAGGTCATAATATCAAGATAGATCTGTCGACAGAGGAAGCAACTGAGGACATTAAACTGTACAAGAGCATGTACATTTTTGGGGAGAAGACTTTGATATTCCTGTGGCCACCGATACATCGGCGTAACTTCACGCAGCATCAAAATCAGAATCTAACAGCATCAAATATGTATTAGGTCTGTACGTTTGTTCCATTCTGTAGTGGCGAACAAACAAGGCGTTTAATATTGTCAGTCCCAAGGCATCCCTCTCTCTCTTCTCTTATGACATGTAGCTCCTAAATGGAACAAAGGGCATGCTAGGCGTTTCTCAGCCTGGTAGGGATTTTAGTGGTTGATTGGCCAGATCAACGCACTTGGTATTGTAGACTATACATACGCATAGACATACCACTAGGTATTGTAGAAAAACTCGTGAAGCCGTAGAAATCTGAAAGCATCCCGAGTATATAAATAGAGACTTCTTATACTTCTTCCTGCAACCCAACTCATTAAGTCTATCTGACAGAATGCGCTGAAAAATATGAAGTGTGCTAACGAAAACCCCCAATATTCGAAGGAACACCATAATGCCGACTTTTTGTAGAATCAGTTACATAAAAGCCATTGCAGAGTGTTTTTAGCAGATTCACTTTCCACCTATCGAATTGGAGAATCTCGAGCTATATATTTGGGATTCCTGATTGAATAAGAATCTGAACTGATGCTTTCCTAAATCTAAACTTACTAAATTAAAAGCAATAAAGAATGATTAATCATTAATCATGAAGAAAATAAAATGGAACAAATGATAGCTTATCAACACACACAAAAGGATTTTCGAAGGACCCTGTCTTCCGATATTTAATATATCGCTCATATAACATGTGAAAGTGATAACACACATCATGATTGTTTGCAATTGTGAATCCATTTTCCATTATGAATAGATAGCGATAGAAAAGAAAACACTTATCGTAAATAAAAGCAGTTGTAAGTCTGCTCGTTTCAATTTTTACCTGATAACGCACATTATATACTTAGCCGTTGTAAAAACTTAAAACTTTATACGAACATTTTGTAGATAAATGTAATTTATTTTGTAGATAAAATGTAATGTATTCAAAAATCTTCTTGGACTTCCTGTGCTTTGTTATAAATAACGTTTATATAACACTTACGTTTCTTCTTGCATTATCAGATCCAGATCTCGTTCTAGAAGCCGTTCCAGAGACCGACGTTCGAGAAGCAGGAGCAACACTCGTTCCAGGAGCCGCTCCAGGAACCGTTCCCGTTCCGATTCGAGGAAGAGAAGCCGCAGTCGTTCGCGCAGCAACGAAAAGCACTCGAGATCTAGATCGCCTCGCTCTAGATCTAGGTCTCATAGTAGATCTGTCAAAGAGAACGGCAACGCGAAAGATTAGTTAGTGTAACAAAAGGGGGTTTTGAATATCCCCGAAATTCTACTGAATGTTTCTTAATGTCGTAGACATCCTCTGCAAGATTTCAACGAGGACGGTGTTTGGATTTATTCCACTTCTGTTTTATTAACAGATATGATCGTTGTTAATATGCGTTTTGCGTACCTGTTGTTGGATGTTATATGTAACAAAAATCGTCCTCAGTGTTTCTAAATTCTTGAAAGACTGGACATTAATAACAAGCCAAGTTTCACAAAGAGCGAATTTTTTTTTATTTTCGAGAAAAATTTTAATTTATTCAACTTAAATGGCCAGTGTTTTGACATAGTTGGAAATATTGACATAAAAAACCTTGCGCTGATTCTTCTGACAGGTTTGTTTACTTCTAATTCGTGATTAAATTGTGACTCATTTTGAATTGCTTATTATACCTATTAAAATGCTGTCAAAACGCTTTCTACCAACACCAAACCCATTTCGAAATGTTGGTTTTTCCAACAAATGACGATGCCTTACGTGTCTAAAGTTTAACTCAATTTCTTCTATTTTTTTGGCACTTTATTATTGATGTCCAGTTTTGATATATTTGACTCACTACGAAAGACATCAGACATTGTCATTATGACTTTGATTCTCTTAATGCACAGTAAAAGACTGCTAATATTGTTGTTTTCAGAATCTCAAAATAACGTAATCTCTAAAGTAACGATGATGAATTTTATTTGAATTCTCAAATTGGTGTAAAGTACTCGTTTTTGGAGAGATTTGGAGACATATTCGTACCACTGTGAGATGTCTACATCAGTTAAATATTTGAAATGGTAACAGAATAGTTTTGATACTTGTATTACTGTAGTATAAGTCATCTAACCCAAGTGTCAACGCATGTAGTAATGTTCTTTTGTGGTGTTTTAGTTATAACCGTTGAAATGTGATTAGGATGACTTTTATTATAGCCATGCATATCAAAAGACAATGTGTCTTGTCCAATATTTAGTTTAAGTATAATTTTGTATCTTTACAACTGCCACCTGTTGGTAAGTTCTGGTACTTGTACTAACATCTACCATAACCTAACCTATCCTGACGCTATTTTAAACATGAGAAATGTAACGTTCTTCTAAATTATCGCTAAAAATGTTTAAAATAAGTCACTTTTAATAAAGATTTGACAAGAATACGCCAACAATTATGAGTAATCTAAAAATTCATATGATCATAATTTCAAGGTAAAACGAGATTTTTTATTGCATTGGAAAAATGAGTAAAGTAAGGTTTAGCACTGTTGGAAAGAACTCCGTATTAGTGCAGGTTTCTGGTGCCAAAGAAGCAGTTAGAAGTGGAATGGTAATTTGTCTAATACACTACCGAAGTTTGTATGGAAAAGAAACCAAAACATGGTTTCTGACATTGATTGGAGCCTCCTAGACTCTAATCAATATATCTACTTTCGATACAATATTGTATCCTTTTATGGGTAAAGGTTACAAACCATCCATATTTTTTGGGTTGCACGTTGTAACTTTCCTAAAAGTTTGATATTTACCATTTGTGATTAACTACTTTGCATAATATCATCGAAAAAAGTATTTTTCTCGTAAAGCATGAAATGATTATTTTTGATAGTTTTCATGTGCTTCAGACGGCTTTTCCAATCGATCATTGTTATTGACACCAGTAATGTGTATAACAATTTTTTCAAAAGTGTAGATTCTTGAGGGTCTTCAATCCAATCAGACTTCAATAATTTCTTCAATTTTCAAAGATTACTTGCAATGAATGAAGTTTTAAATCTACATTTAATCAATCTGACATAATATCATTTACTATCGGTCTAAACCTGTTTACTTGTGAGGCATAAGTTTTTATAGATGTACATTAAAAAAAAAACAATTCTTGTTTGATGAAAACCTTAATTTTACAATAAATAATTAATAAAAAGTCAAAATTTATACCAAAGTTTATCATCGCGCACATAATCAAACCCATTTTGTGAATTTCCTTATAAAGCGCACATATGCTGTCGCGTTACTTACTAACTGCATATCGCGCAGACTCAAAACATGACATGACAGACTCAAGATTAGGATCCAAAACATGTGAATTTTTAGATAAAACTTCTGAAATAATTAAAAGATCATAAGGCAATGTCTGATGAATGCAATTTTTATCGTCGTTTATTTTAAAACATCAACGTGTGTGGTGTATTTATATAAAATTAATTGAATCTGACTGTGTAGGAATAAAATTATACATAAGATACGTTTATGTATGATATGTAATTTGTATTTCTTGATGCTTACTTGATTTAGTTCAGAAACTTTCAGTAGAACTTATTTCATAAGTAATTATATAACCACATTTTTTTATTGTTTAGCACTCTGTAGAGAGTTTAAATATAACTTAATTTAATTTATGTGCTTATACGTAATACATTGGTGTTGTATAAATGGTGTTTGTATTATTTAACTCCTGAGCAAAATCCATATATTATTATGATCGATTAAGGCAATATGATTCGGTGATGCTGAATAATTAAGGTTAGGACGACGAGCCATATTGTTTGTGCAGTAGGGAACTACGTCACTTGGGAAAGAAATCTGGACTACCAACATCTGACATTTCAATCATTTTGTTCTTGAATCCTTACTCGGAAATTTTACTACTTCATCCATCAATAATTAATTTTTTCGAAAAACTGCTGAACATATATGTTATTGTAATTGAAATGTAAGTAGAGGTGGGCTAAATATCACCACTGTGAGTAGAAAATAACGATCATGACCTGTGAATAACAACAAAAATATACTGTGACTGTAATTTCGGTCGCCGAAAATCGGTTTGATCGCCAAAACGTGATATTTCACGTTTGCGTCTCAGTAGCAGAGCTGTAAAATGAGAGACGAGTAACCGGATAGTAAGGAACGAGATAGAGGTAGTTGGCGGTATTGTGCAGTCTCTTTTTAATGAGGAATGAAAAGGCAAAGATGGTATATCGTTTTTGGAGGAATATAAACATCGCTAGTTTAGTGTACCTAATATTAGTATGTAAACAAATATTTGAAGAACATGACAAGGGTATTTAGAGTTCAGTTTTGTAACTCGTCGTATTTGTATCGATATTCAATAATTTTTATTCTCGTACATTTTAAAAATGCTACCAGTGCCAATAAAAAAAGGAAATTAGTAGGTTATGGAGCTTTTTTATAGAAATGGGTGATAATTATGCGTCAGCAATATTTGTAAGGCAAAGTTGTCATATAAAAGCATCTAATTTAAAAAAGCACATGCAAGTAAAACATCTGACAATTATGGATATACCGAAATAATAACATGGTGTAGAATTTTATGATGGTCCATAATGGCAAAACTTTTTATTCAGTTATACATTTCGTTCCTCTGTTAACACTTTCACTGCTAAATTTAAATTGCGGCATTTGCCAGGAGCGGTAATGTTTTTGGGTGGTTGTGATTAGGGGTTAACATCAGAATTCCATTTTTGTGTGTGACACAAAAACATGATGACGCTGTGACTATGATCGGCGTTACTATTAACTACCGCGATGGCTCAGTTGTCGAAACATTCTACACAGAATCCCTGGTTTATTAGGACACATTTCGCAATGGTATGTAGTATCTTTCCGTATATTTTTTTGAGAACATACTTTGCAATGTTTCCTCTGTCTCGTCACATTTCGAAGAAATTTTTGTCAGTACGTGCCATTTCCTTGGTGGATCTGCTTTTGGTTCTTTCATCAGAAGACTACCCAAAATTGATAGTCTAAAATCGTATAGAGACACTGTTCGACCAGAGTATTGTTGAAACAATAAATTAATATAAGTTAAGGAGCATTAGCTGTACATAATTGATTCCAAATTTTTAATCACCTTAAGTTTTGCGTTGACTAGGATAATAAACATTTAACTGATCCTGACGATCAATACCAATATAATGAAAAATTGCAACCGGCTTTGTTTTTTCTCGCCTCCTATTGTTAAGATACTCTACCATTTCTGTGTTATGTGCTCATATCATATATATATATATATATATATATATATATCATATATATATATATATATATAATCAGAACATAGAATGGCATAAAAAAAAAACAATAAAATGGTTTACATTAACTCGAGCCGACCTAAGAAGGAATTGAAATATATTTCGGGTATTTTAACTTTTACGATAGGAAACTGAAATTATTCTTCGTTATTATTAATTCATATTAGGGGGGATTTCAATATATATCAAGGAATTTATATACCAAAGAATTTGCAAATGCTACATAACAACTAACTCCGGTCTCCCCTACGGAACTGAATGTTGGGCAGTTAAAAAGAAAAAGGAACAACGAATACATTTTAGACTTGGAGATTAACAAAAAAGGATAAAATTATTATGAATGAATGAGTATATTAGGGTAAGTCTAGAGGTTCCGGGTTAGAACTACGGATTTGACACCATACACAAACGATTACACTATACACGACGTTATAGGGATTTAATTTACAATAAAAATGCCAAATCTAGTTGATTTTTATTTACATAAAGTATTAAATACATATTTCATATAATTTAAATATACAATCTAAAAGACAGTAGAGTTCCACAACTAGAGTAAGAGCTTATAAAGTCACCTGGGTCTCGTTTACATTGTTGTTGAATGATGTGCTGTTCAACGTACACTGTATTTATATATAGCTGTTTCATGAGTGTAAAAAAAACGAAACCGATAAAAAACTTAAATAACTAACAAGATCACTAATATTGGACATTGGAGTCTTTAACAATTGCCGGGACAGCTGCTGGACGCAGAAACTTTCGAGGACAGCTAAAGTAATAGTACTTTTAGAAAACATAGTCGACTAGAATCTCATACAAGCTGGATTCAGACCTGGTAAATCATGCACCAGCGAAAACTTCGTCCTCACAGAACACATCTGCTATAGAACTCGTTCCCAATCGGCTTCTTCCTAATTTATATGCTCCCTGTCAAAATCTAAGTATGCTCTACGATGATCTCTGGTTAACGCTGGAAGTGGGCATCAATGAAATGTGCAAATTTCCTACTAGAAAACGGTGTCGAACTTTTCCAGGATTATTTGGATGACATTTGTGTTTTGAAGCTCAGATTTCAAATGTAGGGTTGTTACAAATCGTTTTAGAGCGGAAAAACCTAACGAACGATCTTGAGACACGGTTTCTGCTTTATCCAGTACTTCTTGTATGCTCACCAGTTAACCTGTATTGTTCAACCATTCGTGATACTGATGTATGGGACACACCGAATCTTTCACCCATTCAGAGACAACTCATTTAAAACAACGGCTTGAGCATATTCCTCAGATGTTATGTTTTATATCCTTGTTGCATCTTAAAGTTCAAGTCTGGCGAAACGCGTAAAAATCAAACCTCAAGCTGACTCACAAGTCGATTTGTCATTAAAATTGAAAAAAAATTTACTGAGAAAGACAAACATTTTATAGCATTATGTTATAGTTTATAACGTATTTTCTAGTTAAAATGAATACTACACTTGGAAATGTCAAAATTAAGATACTATAGTTTATTTAAATTGGTGATAATTTTCAAAAAATATTAATTGGTGCATTAATTTCTTGTAGCAGTGTATATATACAAATTATCAACCAATACACGAGATACAAATCACTTCCTATATGCCTAAGGCCTGGACAGCAGTGCGCAAGGAGGAACCTCCAAGGAAATAAAAATCAAACTATAATAGGCATTCGATACCATGCTGAACGCTTACCAAAAAAATTTAATACCAAGTCCGATGGCATTTTGTTTCTGAAGTACATGGAGGAACCAATCTACCTGACCGTCATGCTAGACAGGTCGATGACACTGGGAAAAAACGTCTGAAAGTGGCAGCTAGAAACAATATCTTCAGAAATCTCACCAATAGTAGGACCATATTTAGAGCTACTGCTTGTGCGCTCTACTTCACCAAAAAATTTGTCAATCTGAACGAAACTTACAGACTAACATCGTATAGACTTAACATCGTCGTACAGACTAAAAAAACTCTATAGAGTTTGCAATCTTCAACTGCCACAGAAAAGCACACGAGTTCATAGAAAGAACCAAGCAGACAAATGATAAACGCCACTCTTTTTTCCTTAGCTGAATGCAAGTCCAAAAGATTAAATTTCCGCAGCAAATTCTTGGATGTGGCCCTGTACTGCACATGTCAATAACCCACTCATTGAGGAGGTGCTCAGTGACGTAAACTCCAAATGGTCTGTATCAACAACACCGAACTGAAAAATAATCATTGTGGCACCAAATAAGGAGGGTATTACGACACAAAACATGATAAATGCAAACGAGCAAGAACTGTTGGAGGTAGCCGAGTACTGGGTCGAAAATTTTGAACTTTCTCACAAGAAAAAATAAAAATAAGTTAGTTACTTCACTTGAAACATGTAAGCCTTTTCACGTGCAACTTCATGCTACCTTCGAACACGAATTTTTTACTACAAAATTCACACTCAAACTTTTTTTCGACAGTTAGGGACTTTCCGTTGGGATTATGTTTAACTCTGATATGTTTATTCATAGTGCTCCTGTGGGAGAAACTTCTCGAGCACACTTTGCATTCAAACTTCTTTTTCGTATGCAATTTGTTGATGTGCTTGTCTAGGGAATCTTGTGTGGCAAACTGTATGAGACATGTTTCGCATTTGAAGGGTTTCTTGCCTGTATGGTCGTTATTAATGTGACTCTTTAAAGATGAAATTAATTTGAAAGCTCTAATGCATATATCGCACTTGAATGGCTTGTCATCTTTACCGTTACTAGCAGCGTGAAAAATTTTGTGGTTCTTAAGAGCTGAACTTGAAAAAAAAGCTTCTGGACAAATGTCACAATGATACGGTTTTTTATTAGTATGATTATACTGATGTGTAAGAAGTGGTTGTTTCCGTGAAAACGATTTGGGACAATATTCACATTTGTACTTGTAGTTACCGGTGTGGATGGACATGTGGCACTCCAATGATAGCTTCTTCTTGAATTCCTTTAAGCAAATGTTACACTGAAATATGGTGGTGTTATTGTGAAGACTCATGTGCCGCCTTAAACACATTTTTGTTTTAAAACTTTTAGAACAAACTATACAACGGTGCTGTTTGGTATCTGAGTGGTAAAGTTTGTGTCTTCTTAACAGGTTTTTATTAAGAAAACTCTTCGGGCAAATGTTACATTTGAATTTCTTTTCTCCTGTGTGAATAAGTATGTGGTCATTTTTTGATGACAGTTGTTTGAACATTTTTGGACACAGTGGACAGTGGTATCGCCGTTCTCCAGTATGTGTATACATGTGTGCAGTTAAAATAAATTTTCGCTTAAAAGATTTTGGACATAAATGACATTTATATATATTTTCCTCAAAATTAAAACATTTGTGTGCCGCAAAGTTGTCCTTTCTCCTGAAGGTTTTATAGCAAAAAGTACATTTTATGGGTGCTTCCTCTGAGTGAGTATACATATGGTTTTTTATGGAATTAGATTTGAATGTCTTAAAGCATATCTCGCACTGATATGCTGTGCCGCGGCATGAACGCTTGTGAATGGTCAGATTCGATTTTTGGCTGAATCTCTTCAAGCAAATATCACATTGAAAATTCTTTTCTCCGGTATGAAGTAACATGTGGGACTTCAAATAATATTTGTCTAAAACTTTAAAACACACTTTACATGCCACTTTTGATGTAACTTTCTTTTCCATTACAGGATTGTTGTTGAAATTCTTTTCTTCTATATTAGCTGAAATATTTTCATTTTTGTGCATGGGTCTTTTAACAAACACACTTTTCTTTACACGATAACTTAAAAGATGTTTCAACAACTCGTTTTTCTTACAGTGCCATTTGCCACAATATGGACATGTGTTAATGCGATTTGCATTTTTAAGCTTCTTTCTTCTATCCCTTTTTGTAATATCTGAAAACAAAAAAAAAAAAAACAATTAACTAGCATAGCATTAGATACACCACGTTTGATAATCTCGAACATAATATCGTTATAAATCAGTGACGAAAAATTTCAAAATTATTTTTTTAAGTTTATCAGGACAAACAAAGATACATGTTTATCTAATCAATTAAATCAATACTTTGCACATGTAATAAAATCTCTAGCAGATAACATACCACCTTCAGTCAATACAGATCCAGGAAAATACATATTTGAATGGCTAGAGACCTTGAACAAAGAGTGAGCATTGATCAACATCATCAAAATGAGAAAGGTCCAATACTTCGGTCATATAATGAGAGGACCTAAATATCGCTTACTCCAGTTAATCATTCAGGGCAAAATTGAAGGAAAACGTTGGGTCAGAAGAAAACAACTGTCCTGGCTACATAACATTAGACAATGGACAGGTCGAACGGTCAAGGAACTGTTTCATCTAGCTGCCGACCGAAAATCATTTCATCAGCTTGTCAATATGACGATAGCCAACGCTTGAATACAAGCATGGCACACAAAGAAGAAGAAGTCTCTGAAAACAATATTAAAGAGGTCATAAGAAAACTGTAATGGCTGCAATGGCTTTAGTGTGAAAAAGATTATTAGAAAGTTTGTAGAGGAGCTGCTACTGATTATAACTAAGTTAGTTAACTTCCTTATCACTGGATTATTCTTAAACTCTATAAAAATGGCGATAGTGGTACCATTGTATAAAGGACGGGACTCAAAGAAGCGACCCAAAAGTTATCCACCAATATCTCTTTTAACAACCATGTCAAAGATCTTGAATCATGTATAAATAACCAAATTGTACAATTCACAACTCTTTGATACATTGATAGTGGTTGATACTGAGATTGAGAGTGATGATACATAGTGGTTTAACAGGCATTACAGTTTTAGAAATGATTCATGCGCAGTCTCTGCTACTACTGACTTAATTATAGACATATACAAATTAGACAAAGGATTAAGTTGTGTATTTGTATCAGGGGCGTGCGGTGCATGGATGCAAGGGATGCATTGCATCCCCTAAAATCTAAAATTTATTATCAGTAATTAAAACTACATAATCATATTTTAAATTGATTTGTAATAATTCAAATATTTAAAGATAAAATACGTTTTTCAAGAAATCATTAAATTACTTTACGAATGCAATTACTGGCAACAGCGCACGGTGATTGTAATATATCTTTGGATGCATTTTCTGGAACCAATACCAGCCAATACCATTCTGATCGCGCTAGCATCACTTCAATTCGGCAGCACACGTCGACTCTCGGGGCCCGGGCCCAATTTTTATAGATTTGGACCGGCATTTTTAAGAATACTGGATGCAATATTATATTTGCTTACCATAGGCAAGGCGACTGGAGTAGTTCGCATATGACATTGTAATACAGTGCGTGTTTTGCATTTATATTAATTCGAGTAGTTTTTGCTGTGTTTCACGTGTTTTAATTTTATTGTACGTATATGTATATATTTTATTTCATTTTACGTATATGTATATATAATAATTTAAGTAGTTTTTCCGAAATGAATTCAGATTTACCCCAACCGTGTACAAGTTCTCAATCCTGTCAGGAAAACAGTAATGGACAGTGTTGTATTGTGTGCGATTTATTAAAATGTGGATTTTCAAAATTTAACTTTCAAGAAAAGTGTAATATTATATCTGTAGGCAGGCCAAAACCATTACTGGAAATTCAAACCAAGTCGACGAAATGTACACGTTATTTTAACAAAAATATATACGATTCCTTTAAGTGGTTGACAGGTTGTAAAACTCTCTCAAGATTATTTTGTTTTCCGTGTATATTATTTAATATAAGTGATAAAAACGTGTGGAATAGTACGGGTTACTCAGATTTAAATAATTTGCACAAATCTATAAAACGACACATTTTAAGTAAAACGCATTTAGAAGCAGTTATAAAAGAAAAGACTTTTGGGAAAACCCGAATTGATCACGCTCTAGATAATCAGCTTAAAGTTAGTCACCGCATGCATAATGAGCAAGTAAAAAAAAATCGTGAAATATTAAAAAGACTGATTCATATTACATGTTTCCTTGGAGAACATGAACTTAGTTTCCGAGGGCATAATGAAAATTATGAATCTGTAAATAGGGGAAATTTTGTGGATTTAGCAAATTTTTTATCTGAATATGACGAACTATTAAAAAGTCATTTAGATCAATCTACTGTATTTCGAGGTACCTCGAATAGGATACAAAACGATTTGATCAAGTCTGTGGCAGATATTGTTCTGCAAAAAATCAAAGAAGAAATAAAAGAAGCACAATTTATTTCCATTGTTCTAGATGAAACTACAGATATCGTGAATTTGAGTCAATTGTCGGTTGTTCTGCGTTACATCAAAAATAATGGTGAAATACAAGAACGATTTTGGGGATTTTTGGATATAACTGCAGATAGATCGGCAGAAGGTATATATAGACATGTCTGTAATATAGTTGAGGAACTGGACTGTGGTTCCAAACTTGTCGCTCAAAGTTATGATGGAGCTGCCGTAATGGCTGGGCACCTCGGAGGACTTCAAACCAAAGTTAAGGAGAGGTTTCAAAATGCAATTTTTGTGCACTGCTTTGCACACAGGCTAAATTTAGTTCTAGCGCAATCAGTCGCACTCAATAAGACTTGCAAGGTATTTTTCCAAACCTTGAGTGGAATGGCTGCTTTTTTTTCTAAATCTTCCAAAAGAACACATGCTTTAGATGTCATTCTTCAGAAAAGGTTCCCTCGAGCAGCTCCCACCAGATGGAATTACAATGGGAGGTTAGTAAAAACAGTTTCCCAATATCGGCAATCCCTAATAGAGTTATTTGAAAGCATTTTGGAGCATAAAGACCATTGGGACCCTGAAACTGTGAATTCCTCAAGAGGTTATTTGGAATTAGTCAAACGAGATTTTGATTTTAATTTTTTGCTTCAAGTATTTTCTGAAATATTTCCTTATACAGACATTTTATTTGATGTATTGCAGACTAAATCAAATGATATCGGATTTTGTATTAAAAAAATTAACGAATTCGAAGTCCAAATCAACAGACAGAGGGAGCAATTTGATATCATGTGGCAAAAAACTTGCGATCTAGAAGAGATGGAACCCAAGAGAAAACGCATTAGAATTGACGATGTAGGCGACACAAAAATATCTTATAATCGACTTTTTTGTGAAATAATAGATAATATTTCCCAGCAGCTTAAAGAAAGATTTAAAAACCTTTGTGAGTTAAGATTTGTGGAGTTATGCAACTTCAATAAATATGCCGACTGTAGTTTCCCGGATGAGGCTTTTAGTTGTCTAAAAAAACATTATGCAAACTTTTTTGACCTTCTTTCCCTGCATTCCCAACTGTGCGTTTTGTATGCTTCTCAACACTCTATACAAACTGATACTAGTTCTAAAATGCTGACATTTCTTAAACAAACTGAACTGGATGAAGCATATAGTGAGGTTTCAAAATTATGTGACTTAGTGATGACAATACCTGCCACAAGTGCGTCTGTAGAACGAAGTTTTTCTGTACTAAAGCGTATTAAAAACTTTGTCAGAAATTCCACAAGTGAGGAGAGGCTAGCTAACTTAGCAATTTTATCAATTGAAAAAGAACTTATTAAAGAAATGTCTGAAAATCCCAGTTTTTATGAGTCTGTGATAAACGAGTTTGCCAAGGTTGATAGAAGAATAGAGCTGCACTACAAGTAAAAAGGTTAGTAAGTCTTTTTATCATTTCCTTTAATTTGCATCCCTTTCTTCTAATGTCACGGCACGCCACTGATTTGTATCATTGGATTTGCAAAATGCTTTCAATACATTTGACCATGATATATTTATTTTAGTGCTTGATCAATAAGAGATAACTGAAACAGCATTAGCTTGATTGAGTGACAGAATACAAAAACTGCTATGCAACAAGCACAGCAGAAAATATTGCATGTGGAGTTCCTCAAGGTTCTATATTAGGACCAACACTTTTCCTGATTATTATGAATTCATTATTCAATTTACCTCAGTAGTTTATGTTGTATTTTTATGCTGATGCCACAGGTATTCTGTATGCCAATAAAGATCCCAGAAAATTAGAAACTGATGTAGAAAAGGACTTAATAAATAGAAACAGATTAAGTATCCCAAACCTTCACTTAACATGAATAAGTAATATGATAATTTCAAATGTAGATGTACATCTACATTTGAAATATAGGGAAATATATATATTTGAACTTTGGAAAATTCAAATTTAATAAAAAGGAGATGATCAAGTATCCTGGATTGTGTATAGATGAATGACTTACGACTTACTAACAACACATCTTAGACATATGTCATAACATAGCTCCAGCAGTAGTATTATTCTCTAATAACTCACATCTGTCTTATTTAACAATTGTATAGGGTAATACCAATCACAAACAGCTTCATCCTCTAATGGTATTATAAAACTATTAAATATATTTTTCAACTGCCAAGCCTTTATCCAACAGATCTGTACTGCTCAAGAAGAATATTCAGTATTAAGGCAATGTGCACTATGCAAGTTTATGTATTAATTCATAAATGTAATCTTTCTCAAGTACTTACAAATATTACCCCAACACTGAATGAAGATGTACATCACTATCATACTATATAAGAGGGTTCTTCTGGAACAGGAAGAATGGGAACTTGATAACTACTTTAAGAACAATCAGATTTGAATCATTTAAATTTCTTCTTGTATATTTTGAATTAATGGAGAAATATCTTTCTGTATTAACATATAAGTAATACTTTTGTGAAATTAATAAACTGGAAAGTAACTAATCTTTAATTTGGATTAAAGGGCATTGTGGAATAATAAGAACTAAGGACTTGACTAAGTAGATAAAAAATGAAGAAAAACAAGAGCCTATTTAAGGTATCAATGTCTTGAACCCATATTAGCACTGCAAATTTGGCAAACATATCTCAACTGAGCAGACCTTTGCATAATTATCTATACATGAAGTGTAGGTATATATTCATTGTAAAGTACACCAAGACTACTTATAGGTCTCCACATATAAGCTATTTTTCCTTATTTAATTCTGGTATACTTACATTCTTGGATTGAAGCATAAAAAAACTTCTCTTGCTTTTGATTTGATACAGCTTCAGTTTGGTAATTTCCAGAACTTCCGTCTTCTAAGTCAGCCTCACACTTAATTGGAAGATTACATTCCTCAGTTAACATATTATATTCTTCAAAATTGATGGGATTAGCATATTCCTCACTTGACAATTCCTCTTTCACCTTTTGAAGTTCTAGTTTTCCTTCGTCCACAGATTGGTTATCAAAGTACGAATTTGACTCACTTTTGATGAAAATATCCTCATTGTATTGTTTCTGTTTCATAAAATCTTGATTTAGTTCTTGTTTTACGCACTGTACATACTCAGGCTCTACAGTTGGAGGATCCAAACAGTTCCAGAAATCTAAGCTGTCAGGTGGTTCGTTTTTCACTTCTAGTTTAATCGAATTAACAAGAAACAAGTTAGTTTCTTGTTTAACATTTTCGTTTAAAATACCTTGTTTACTTTCCATTTTAATATCTAGATTCGGGCCACCAAGGTAATCCTAGTAAATTAAAAACTATCGGTCATCAGTACAATTATTTCATAATAAACAGCCAAAAATAGTGAAAACATATGGCATAAGTATATCATATTCTTAGGAAACAATTATTGAAGAGAGAATTTCGTATTTGATTTGAAAAATTTATTACAGTATCTCAGGAAAATGAGAAATTAATTAAATAAACCTCAAATAAACAGAAACAACTTTAAATAACATCTGTCAAACCAACTGTCACAACTGATTCTTAACGTCATTCAGTGAACATCTGTTCGGTGTCTTTTTGCTTCTTCTTCTTCCATTCATTTGCTTGGCCTTAGGTACCAGGGTTATCCGGCCAGGATATGTGTATTTATATTGAATGTTCAAGAGCCGTACCTACGGTACATCTGAGCTTAAGCCCATAGCTCCTGAACCTGCAACAATAATTGAAGAAGAAGAAGAAAAAAAAAAAACAATTAAAGTCAAATGTTCAAAAGTTCTTTCACATAAGTTCTAAAATTATATTGTTCTAGTCCTTCAAAGTGACCAAAGTGATGTCAATCCGAAAAAATCAAAACGTACCTCAACCTTGAACAATAAATGGGCACATCTTAGAACAGGTCAATAGATTTAAGTACCTGGGATGTTGGATCGATAGCAGCCTAAATCCTGATCAAGAAATAAGATCGAGAATAGAACAGACTAGAAAATCTTTTGAAAAAATAAAAAAACTGCTTTGTGATTCTCGAATAAAACTCGAAATTAGACTACGTTTATCAAAATGCTACGTCTGGTCGACTCTTCTATATGCAGTGGAAACGTGGACCCTTAAAAAATAAAACGTAAATAAATTGGAGGCCTTTGAAATGTGGATCTACCGGAGAATACTCAAAATTTCATGGACATCGCATACCTCAAACGAAGAAGTCCTGCATAGAATAGGCAAGGAAAGAGAACTTTTTAACACAGATAAAGTAAGAAAAACATCATACCTAGGCCACATACTGAGAAATAATAAGTACCAATATGCCCAACTTATAGTGAAAGGAAAAATCGAGGGAAAGAGGCCTAGGAAGGAAAGACTATCATGGCTCAGAAACATCCGACAATGGACAGGGCTAAATTTTGAACAGCTAATAAGAACAGCTGAAAATAGAGAAGAGTTTAAAATTGTAGTAGCCAACCTCCATTGAGGAGAGGGCACTTTAAGAAGAAGAAGAAGAAGTCCTACAATACTGCACCAAACCGCACTAAGCACATGCAATCCAAGCAAGTAGATTAAATCTTATAATGTACATTAACGAACTACACTTGAGACCTTGTTGACGCTAAAAACTGCAAGCAGTGTCTTTGAGTTTAAGTTTTTGAACAACACATCAATGAATGTTGGAGCCTAAACTGCCACATGAACACATATTTGTATTGATCATTTTCAATCTAAATAAATGAACCCGAACGCTGCAATGTCTACTTCTCATACGACACATTTGTGCAATTATGACCCTCCTCAGGTTGGGAAACCTTTTAAACCAGGCCTTTTTATAGATAATCAGCTCTATCATTCCCCACTATCCCGGTGTGACTTGGAATCCATGCGAATTTAATTTCTTTATTTTGTTCATGGGGTTGACTAAGTTTTTGTTTTAATTGAATAGTTTGTGTGTCTGCTGCAGCCTTATAACTTGGTCTTGTAATTTTCTCCTGAACATTTTTTGACTCCCTACAAATAAGGCTTTTGTCAAAATCATCCTGTTGAATTAAATCTAATGCCTTTTTTATCTCAGATAATTTTGCTGAACAAATTGAATTAGCAGATGGTAATCTTGCTGTTAATTCGGTGCTTTCATTAAGGTATATACCAATGCCCACATTACCTTGTTCATCTTTGGATCCGTCTGTGAAGATAAGTTTATATTCAGACCAGTTATTAGGGTACCATGACACAAACATGGCTTGGTTACCTTCTTTCCCCAGGTTGAGAGTTTCATACACCGTAAGAGAAATCTGAGAATTAAGCGAAAAGAAGTGACATGGAAATAAGGAGTTATGTGCTACCTCATGAATCTCATGAAGCGTATTCTGGAAGGCAACCAGTATTGGTGGGAAGTATTTTTTTCTCCAAAAACTAAAGTAATTCAGAAATGTTTTATGAAATTGCTCTTCCACCTTTAATATAAATTTAGATGCTATCCAAATCCTTTTAAGACAAAAGCAAACATGGATAAAATCATAAAAACCCAAAGAGCAATGGAAAGACAAATGTTGCACATAAAACTAATGGATAAAAAGAGAAATGAGTGGATAAGAGAGAAAACAAAAGTGAGGGATGTTAGACAAGAAGTTGCAAAATTGAAATGGAGCTTTGCCGGACACAATATAAGACAAAAAGAAGACCGATGGAACAAAATTTTTATAAGTTGAAGACCGTGGGAATATAAACGAAGCAGAGGAAGGCCCCAAATGATATGGACAGATGATATCAAAAAGCACGTGGGCTCTAGGTGGATGACTGTAGCGACAGACGGAGAAGAATGATAAAGGATTGGGGAGTCCTATGTCCAAAGATGGACCGAAGAAGGCTAATTAGATAGATAGAAAATAATTGTCCCATATAGTATAACTGCAAGTTTGCATTTTAGGTGATTCAGGTTCACTTCACACTATCAAAAATATTTGGTCTATATAGTCACTATGGAAGTAATCCTAATTCATCATATGAATGTATCTATTTCTAGTATTGTATATAACTTTCAGAAAATGTTCTTTTTTCTATCCTATATTTTAATTCGGTACAATCCAAGTATAATATTATCCAGGATGTCTATCCATAATGTTAATCCAGGAATAGAAAAATGAACTCTGTTTAATTTATTTACGGCAGCCATACACATTCTCTGCAATATTTTATGTCGTACTTTTAGTTGAAGAATAGATTAAATTATTTTAAATTTACCAAATTATTAACCTCTTAAAATTTAAATTACGGTTCTTTAAATTTAAATTACGTTTTTTTTGGTTTGGTTGAGCCCGTCCATATTTAATTCCTTCTGTGTACCATTCATACTTGTATATTTTGACTTTCTTTATTGTAATCTAATTTGAAGGATATTAGGAAAATAAAATAACACAAATTTTGTAAAAATTTATTAAAAATCGTAACATTAATATTTACAAAATTAGTAACTAATGAGATTTTAGAGTCGAAAGAAATTATAAACAAGAAAAATTGTTTTACGCAGTAAATTACACTGTATATCTCCAATTAGGAGCTGCCAACATTTTGAGTTAAAATGGAAAATGCCAAAGGCAACTCATCACCACGCTCGCTGTTTCTATAACATGTTTGCACATCATTTCATACGTCATTAAAATTAGATATGGTTGAGGTTCAAATATTTTTGAAATTTTCTATTTTAAGTAATCATTCTTTTTATGACAATCTATTACGAAAGCAAGAACGAATAATAAACGGAAAAGGATATTGCAAAGTAATTATTTGTTCACTACATAAAAATGAGATCTCTTAGTTTGTAAAAATGATAAAAAACTCTCAGTAACAAAGTGTATAAGACATTCTCCTCTACAACAATACCTTTAAATAGACGTCTAAGTCTAAGTGCATATGCGGTAGAAATCCTTGGCGAATACTGTGAGGATCAAGAATAGTCAACTCCTATTACAATAGTTGTATTGATGATTGCCTATCCTGAAAGGAATAAAAATTAAATACACATAGACCGTTGCGATAAATTGCTTTTAGACAAAATGGTAGGTCTACAATAGATCATATTTATCTGCTATGTCAAAGATGTGATTTGTTGATAGATCATATCTTTGACGTAGAAGAAAAAACCAAAAAAATTCAATAATAAAACTAAAGATTTCTAACAAAAATACACGCTAAAAATAATATAATTCATTAATTATATTTCTTGTTTACAATGTCTGTACTAAAATATCATACCAACAATTAAATTACTTAAATATAAGGAATTAGATACTTTTAAACATGTTTAGACAAAAATCTTTTATTATTAAATACTTTTTACCCTACTTAGCCTTGTCGAAATGGTTTTTTGCTCATTTTCCGAAGGCAAAGGTGTATCTAATTCCCTATTCAACACCCCAGCAGAATTCTGCAGTTGCGGCGCATTTTTATTTATGAAATCAAGATTCAAAGGAGGCAACTCTCCCCTGAATCTTCCAAATTGAGGTCTAGCTGTTAAATAAGCCGAAGCTTTTGACAATCTTGGACTTACTATGGTCGGTCGATCTGACAGTTTGGCTGTCAAGCTTTGACCTGACAGTTTTTTACCGTCGTATGTAATTACGATATCGGGTGGAGTACCGAGCATTGGGTTTGATTCTGGTACGTCAATATCGATATTTGAGGGCTCCCGAACCACTTCTACAGGTTGTGCGTTAGTAGGAGGAAGGTAATAGCTTTCGACTCTTTCGTTCGCCTCAGCTATGGGTTCCTCCAAAATATCCGATATGCTGCGTGGTCTTTTAACAACAATTTTGGTATATTGTTGCCTTTTTTTCGACACAGGCCTTTTTGTTATCTTGACTTTCTTTTCTTTCGTTGGCTTAAACGGAGGAGAAGGAATAAACATTGGCTCAAAGGCATGAATAGGTTTAGTTTCAAATTTTTCTGTATCGTTTATTTGTAAAACGCCCTTTTCACTTTCATACTCCACCACAGGCTCATCCTCGTCTATTCTGTCTTGGAATTCTTTAGTTATGATTGGCTTAAAGCCACTTTCTATTTTTATAGAACCTGGCTTAAAGCCAGTATTAAAAGCCGGTCTTAGAAAATTTGGTACTATATCAGCAACAGATGTGCTAGGTGCGGTTTGTATCTCAGGTTCTTTCTCTGTTGAAGCCTGTTGGGGAGAAATTTCTATATTTCGGATCTCCTCAAATACAGGCTTTTCGATAAAAGGTCTTACTTGATTCTCAATTGGTGCTTTTGTTGTTAGAGGGGGCTGTTTGACATATACTATGTAAGGAGAAACAGCTGGCTGCTTATATCTGTAATTGGGCACCCTAAGGATTGGTTTTTTATAACTTACATGTGGTCCTCCATAATATCGCTTTAGATAAGCACCTTGTGGCACCATCTTTACTGGCATTGGTAAATAATTTACCGGTCTTCTGTAAATTACATTAACGTTTTCGTGATAGTGAAGAGGAGGAGGGACCAAGTAAGTCTCATTGGCAAGATTGTCGCTAGCTACGGCTATATTATCTACTAGTTTGGGAGTTGTAGGTTTTTCGGAAGAAGTTGTAGTTATGGTAGTGGTTGTAGTAGTGCTGGTAGTGGAAGGTACTAAAATGGTCTTAGTGCTTTCAAGGCCGGTGTTCAGAAGAGTGCTGGGTTTGAAGTAGTGCAAGTGCTCAGGCTGTTGGTAGTAATGGAAGTTGGGTCTAGTTCTAAGGTGGAAGTATTGCTGTGCTGGTGTTTGAAGTGGATTTAGATTTGGTAACTGCTCCGATGACTTTTCTACAGGTGCCGAAGTTACTTTCTCTGAAATTATTGATTTAGTGTCTTTATCTTCGATGTCTTCTGTAATAATATTAATTTGTTTTACCCTTGTCTCGACGCGAAGAGAGGGACTGTCTTCTAGGTCGGTGTCCAATTTGTCCAAAATGCTTTGAGGCGCAGGGACAATTGCCGGCTTGATCTCGCTCGCCTCGGCTTTGCGATCGCAGCTGTCCAGGACGTGAATTTTCCAGCCCAAGTATCGGTGAGTGAAGCACTAAAACAAAAATAATATTACGATCAAATCTGTAGATATATGTACATAAATAGGGTTCCAGATACCAAATCTCATAGTTTAAAGAGTTTTAAGCAATTTGTATCCTGTTTTATGACGAAGCAATACTTTGTTTAAACGGAACCGGTATTAAACGGAGCCCGCCTCATATTAGGAATTATGTACGTAATTATCTTTAAGAAAGTTTCAAATTGTTGAATAGGTAGAAGAAGATTTATCGAATGGCAATCTAGTTCTCCTGATTTAAGGACTGGTTAAGAAATAGAAGACTACTACAACAAATAGAGTAGTAAAAACGGCAAGAGACGGTTTCCCAATAGGGACCCGATCAGTAGGAAGACCACGAAAACGATGGAACCACAACTTACTAGAGGTACATTAAAAAACAGACAGAGACATGTCA